TGCATAACTTTTATAAAATTATATATATATATATATAATAAAATAATTTATATACTCAATAGCCTGCAGATAGGTGGAGAAAACAGAAACTTTTGCACATAGACCTGGGGCTAGATGTAGGGGTGATTATTTTTAATATGATTAGCATTCAGGACGGTCTTTTATGTAGACTGCACAATTAAATAAAAGCACAAGATGAAATGTCCTTTGGTCTCACACTTGGATTGGACTTCATCTAGCATTATTTACACTAACTAGCGCAGAAATAAGAATCAGAATACTTCAAAAATCAGGTACTTATCATTGACATCATCTCACCTTTGACCTTGAGTCCCAGGAGTTTCTGTCTCTCTGGCAGGACCCCAGTCAAGGTCTTGATGGACTGTTTCAGGTCCAACACCGTGTCTTCCTCAGACAGAGAACTGATGAAGTATTCCTGACCTCCCCACTTAATGATAACCGACACCGACATGACTCTTCGGTGCTCTTCACACACACATACACACGACTGCAGTTGAAGTCAAGGTATGCACGCGCACCCTAATCAAAATATTTCCAGCAACAATAACAAACATGCACGCGCACACCTTGCAGAAAGGGAGAGACGGGCAAATTCAAAGGAAAGGTGTTAGGATGCCACCATGTAACTGGCTGGAGCTCGACTTAAAACAAACAAGAGCAGCTTGTGATAAAACAGAGAGCCAAACGGGACATTACTATTGTTAAGCAGGTGATGGTACGTCTGGCTATTTCAAGACACAACGGCCAAATGCCACCTAATCAGCTCAGACACTGTGTGACTGTCCCTGATGCTGATATTTATAGCACAAGGTTGCTAACACTGACTAGCAACGATGTAAACACGCCGGGTTTAACAGCCAGCTCGCGAACATTAACTGACTGAGCTCCGCGGTCTGCTCACTCTTACCTGGTAGCACAAACTAACATGTAATGCTTGGCACACACTGTCAAATTTCCTCATAAAGTTGAATGAATGAACTGAGTTGGCCGTTCAATTTCATTCAGCGGGAGCCTCACACACCGCTGCTCTCTTCCTGGCGTCACGAATCTTTCCGGTAGTGACGTAATTGAAAAAGGAGGCTTTGTTGCTATAGTGACTAAAGCCCGTTACCTTAAAATACATACAATACAATATATATATATATATAAATATTTCAGCTATATTCAAAATAAAACTGTCCAGTATCTAATTGTCACGGTTCAATGACTGACCACTACCTTATGCTATGCATTATGTATCTTGATACAAGTCTAATGTCTAATTTCACAGCAGGAAACACATTATGATTTACCATGGTCTAGAATCAGAATCAGAAATTGTTTAGTTACAGATGCACCCTTAAAATATTTATATGAACTAGAGAAACCCCTTAAATAAGGTGTAAATATAATTAAAACAAAGGCAATCAAAGTGTCATATTAAATTAGAAGTAAGTTTTAAAACATACTATGTACAATATAAATAAATGAAAGTGAAAATAGTCTATGTCCACGCAAGGATAAGGATACTAATAGTATTGGTTTGAGAAGTATGTGCTTCTTAAACTAATATATAAATGCTTAATAGGAATGTTTGCTAACCCCTCCCAAAAACAGCAGTCTTTTTGACGAACAAAACACACCTTTGTTCTACTATAACTTGCCTGGCGAAAGGGGAATTTATGCTTATCCGCACTGCCGGGAGAATATCTCATTCATATAAACCTAACAATTCCATAAAACTTGTAAAATCAAACACAATTAAAGTAAGTAAAGTGACTGGCCACCTTAGGCTATGCATTAGGCCTCTCCATTAATTTTACTTTCAGGTTTTGTCCCTAGCTAAATATAAATAAATAAATAAATAAATAAATAAATAAATAAATAAATAAATAAATAAATAAACTCCCTCTTCACATTAGGCAATCGACATCAGTGCTGGTTTTTAAATCCAGATTGAAAACGCATTTTTATTCACTGGCTTTTGACTCAGTGGTTGACTGACTTGTATTTACTTATATTTTATTGTTTTCGCTATGTTTATTATTTTATCGTATTTATTATTCTTATGGTATCTATTATGTTTCTATTGTTCAGCACTTTGGTCAGCCTTGTGTGTTTTTAAAGTGCTATATAAATAAACGATGATGATGATGATGAAATATTTTAGGCGTTTGTTAATATACTATGATGACTTATTTCTGTAATGTTTCATTCCCCTCCCAAATTTATTTTTACCATTAATTGAGTGACAAAAAATCACACATCCTAATTCCACTTTATAACAGTCTTTGACAATATGTTGTGAATAAAAAGCTTTGTCAGGTTAAAAAATATATAACCTGTTCTTTCTGTACGGGACAGTAACATTGCGCATGCTCGGTACATCTTGCTTGGTAACTTGGATAATGGCCGCTAGGTAAGATGAGCGGATGGGCCGCGTCGTTTCAGCGTGAAGTGCTCACTCCGGGAGGACCGTTAACTCGGGCGGTGGCGAGTTAAAATGGTCGATATCCGACCCGTAAGGCATCCAGAAACAGTTGTACATTGTGCGAACATCGTCATTCAAACGTAAGTTCTTATTTTTTTAAAGAAATTTGTCTACGTGCCATAACTGGTTGCTAGCCGAGTGTCCCAGTCTGCTACATTTGGGCTTACTTGCTTAGGGGAGCAGGTTATGGTAATCCTCAAGCGTTATAAGCTAGAACATTTTATGTGAACATGTGCGAAGGCTAGCGCCTTAATTTGTAAGGTCAAAAGCAAGCTGATTCGTTCGGAGTGTTTTATTTCCCGCTGTGTTAAACATAAGATAGGTTGTTGTTGTTAGTAGTTCCTCGGCTCGGTGACAGTGATGCTAGCTGAAAGCGTTAGCTTGATGCAGCTCATCACATAGCGCACGTACGCTGTCATAGCTCGCTATTTCTATCACTTTTACATCCACCAAACTGCGTGGAAACCGTAGGCATGCATTGTCATGTCTGTTATAAGTATTCGTGGACGATACAGACCAGTATAGCAAGCAAAATATTGCCGTATTTGCGGCGTAATTGCGAGAATTTATTTCCGTCGAGACAGAGGGGTTACTAGAGTTCATGGCGTAGCACAGCACAGTCGTTGCAGCACTCACTCATCCATAACGTTTTCATTGCCGGTGCTTCAGTTAAACTAGTAAATGGTATGCAGCCTTTAGACCAAATACACTACAATATACCCTACAGCTGTCAAAGGATTACAACGGATAAAAATTAATTGGTAGACGGCCTTGTTATATAAATTCAGATTCTGCAAAGTGATGTCTGTCTGGGCAGTGATAGTCGTGGTAAATTTAAAGTTATGTAAGTTAACGGGATCCTGCTACGGGATGCTGGGATAAGAGATGGAAACACTGCTGTTGGCAACTCAAGAAGGAAAAGAAATGTAAGAGCTTTGTTTAAATGGAGTGGATTGAAACTTCGCCACGTTTCTTTTTTAAAAACTAGCACTCACAGTGAAATGTTCCTCTAAAACTTCACGCAGGTATTAAAGGGCACTTAAACGAAGGGTTTGTAAGCAGCTTTTTTTTTTTTTTTTTTTTTTAAGTGCAGTAGATATGTTGTTTGGAAAAGGCCAGGAAAAAAGAGGGCAACATGTTGCTCTGTGGAATTCACTTTTGTGAGGCTTTGAATTTCCTTAAGCTCCAGCGCTTTTGGGTGAGAGCCTGGTTAACAATTGCTGATTTGTTGGAGAGCCTCGAGTTTTTCAAACATGCTCAGATTGCCTTTGAGTAATTCATGATCACTGTGAGAGGTTTCATCACTTTAAGGTTAATACATTAGAAATAATATATTGAGTTGCATTGATTACATTTGGTGTGTTTGCTTTGCATCATGCAGTAGTGGCAGTGATGGAATTTAGTAGGTGGGAGGAAACAAAACTGAAATGCAATCTTTAAACAAATCTTTTTGTTTTAAGAACTTCAACATTTGTGTAAGAGATGTTGTATGCCATTTTTTTTAATAGCATTTCATAACTTTGAGGTCAGTCGTTGAAATGGTTGAAAACCTGTACATATTCAAGAATTTTCCTACATTGAACAACCTTTAGCACCCACCAAATCATCAGAAAATGTAGTCAAACTAATTTTAATCTGTTCTGTTAATATAATATATACTCAAGCATATAAAACATTTTTGTTTATCAAATAAGTAGGGAAATCCAGAGATAGGGTAACTGACTGTATGCTAACTGATCATGCTTATATGACTAGTTGTCCACCAAAAGCCCATTTTAAGCCAGGATAACACTGATATTGGCTAGTGTATGTATAGAACCATAGATGCGAGTTAAAATGTTTTTTTTTTCTTTCTTTAATCCCATCCATTAGATTTTCCATCAGGATCTGTGTTGATATAATAAGTCAACATATTCTTTCTTTATATATTTCATGTTTTGTAAACTGTTTTGACTTGTAGAAATTGTATTTTGTATGTGTTTATATCCGCCACCGCATTGCTCACCCCCAGATAGTGTTAATAAAGGTGTAAGTAAACCAAGAAATTATTTTGGCAAAGAGAGAAGTGTAACCATTCTGTCAGCGCAACAGAACAGTATGTGGGCTTTTTTTAAAATGTGAACTGCAGATTTTGCAAGTATGCCTCTTATGCCATTTGTCAGACTTGACCTTTTGAGTTGCACCTGCATTAAAACATCTGAATGTGTTACCACATGCTGTACTTTCATTTTCCCATGGTGGATTCTGTGCTGTTGGTGATTGTGTGGTAGCAAATAGAAAGGACTGGACAAATTTACATGTCTAGGTTGATTATTGACCCACAGATTTGACTATGCAAATTACAGTTGTGGGTGAAGCTGTTTTTAGCTGGGTCAACCGTGCAATGTTTCTTTGGAATCTTGGTAATAATAACCTATTCAAGACTAGCTGTTGTTCCCAGGATCAAGTTTCCGGCATTCCTGTATGGGTGGATGACGGTAAACAAAGTGAATTGTGGTTGACAGTAGTGCTTTCTGCCTGAACCTATAAAAATACTGTTGGCAGCATTTTGAGAATTTCTTGTTGGTTATTATTGCAACAGCCTTCTTAAAATCATGTCAAAATTATCTGGTAGCTTCATCATTATTAGGATTTTTATGCGTGATATCTGTTTGTAGACTTATAATTGTATGTAATTATACATGTATATTGTATATTGAGGTAGGATCAAATGAGTTTACCTTTAAGTCTGTTTGTACCAACCCTTTCTTTGTCTCATTATTGTTTAAAGTGTATTTTGTTGTTATTTTAGTCATGTTCAAAATAAATCTATCATTCAGTGACAAAAAAAAGAGTTCTTATGTACACAGCATCACTCGATTGGCTTTAGTTAAGATGGTAAGAAAATGGTCAATGTTTCCCAGCTGTATGGCACTTAATGTTAGTACTGTGCTTGAATAAATAAGTACATATTTAGGCATGGGCAAAAGAAGTAGTGGGTTAAACTAATCTGCAATTTATTGATATAAATCAACAGTTAACTGTTGTTCCTGAGCTGTTATGACACCACAACCACTAACCGAAAGATGTGGCATATGGCAGCAACCATCTTGATCTCTGTGACAGGAAGTTGTAAACAAGCAAGGTAAAAAGTAAGACATGACACTAACCAGTGTGGTTCTGCAGTACTTTGATTTAGAAAATGAGGGGCTGTATGTAGGTTTCAGGGTAAAGTGATAACTACTGGAAGTAGTGGGTAACCCTTTTTGGCATAGGTTTGTGTGTTGTGGATGGTGCCAATTCTTATATTCTGTTCTGACTAGTGAATTAGTTACCTTAGTTATTCTGTTATGCTGTTGTGGCAAAGGGGTTTCCTTCATTTAGAAAAAAATCAAATATGTCCACCAAAGATGTTTTGGGATTCTACCAAAGCAAAATACCAAGATAGCAAAATGGACTTTCTAGTTTCTGTTGTATTTGTTTATAAAGTAACCAAAAACTTCCTTTAAGTAAGGTAACTGCAGTTCTTTGTCTCTGGACCCATTGTACTTCAGTCAATAGTCTCATTGAAAGTCCTGTTTGCATCAGGAAAAAAACAAAACACTGTCAGTATGCTAGCCTTTAGAGACTTTAAAATGATTTACGGTCATGTTACTAACTTATTATAAAAATTTGTGGTAATAATGTAACAATTGTTGAGTTTTACCTTTACGTTTAGACCACAAATGAATGAGACCGTTTTGTGATTGACCTCTTAAGTCTTTCGTCTTTTCTTCTGTCTTTTCTTCCTCTGTAGCTCACAGCTTTTCCTTTGACCTTTATAATAACTGAATTTATATTTTGTTGCCTTTGTTTTGGCTTTCATCTCTCTTTCTGTTTTCCTACTCTCACCTCCTATAACTGCTTCATATTAAGACTCCATCTTCCTTTTTTTTTTTAATTTGCATTTTCTCTCTTTTGCTACAGACCACCCACTATTAACATCACGTCTTAGTGGTCAGTTCTGCCTTCGGATCAGAGCTTAAACTGAAGCCATGGCAGTGAAGGACCGCGTAGAGGCTGTGCTCAATGTGGGTCTACGTGTTCCCAGCATCATGCTGTTGGATGTCCTCTACCGCTGGGATGTCAGCTCCTTCTTCCAGAAGATCCAGCGCTCCAGCCTTTCCAATAACCCCCTTTTTCAGTACAAGTATCTGGCCCTCTACCTGCACTACGTAGGTCAGTGCCACCTTTCCTGTATTAAAACTTAAGAAAATGTTTGGTGTAACTGAGACACTTTGTTTAAATGCTTTGCAATGTCTGTACCACATTAAAGAGTTCCTCATTTGAAAACATCATGTGTACTTCCCTGTAGTCAGGTTACCATGACCTGCACTGAAACAGTATTATATGCCATGCATTACTGTTTTACCTCTGTTGGTTGAAAGTGCGTAATTTCTTTTTCCATTCAGAAGTGTCGACTCACGTTTGGTATTAGTCAGTAAGTCACGAGGCTCAGCTCTGTAGTGATTGAGAGGGATTATTTGACAGTGTGGCGATCGTGGCTCAAGAGTTGGGAGTTTGCCTTGTAATCGGAAGGTTGCCGGTTTGAGCCCCGGCTCAGACAGTCTCGGTCGTTGTGTCCTTGGGCAAGACACTTCACCCGTTGCCTACTGGTGGTGGTCAGAGGGCCCGGTGGCGCCAGTGTCCGGCAGCCTCGCCTCTGTCAGTGCGCCCCAGGGCGGCTGTGGCTACAATGTAGCTGCCATCACCAGTGCGTGAATGTGTGGATGACTGAATGTGTAAAGCGCTTTGGGGTCCTTAGGGACTAGTAAAGCGCTATACAAATACAGGCCATTTACCATATATGCTTTTAAGACACACTAGAAACTCAGAAAACCAGTACTCAAACACAAAGTTCTGAATTCAGTTTTGAAGGCATTACAAAATGTCTTTGCAGCACAAGTGGTTAGCCAGATACATTTACAGTGACACAGAAACACTGAACGTAACATAAATGAAATAGCTAGGCCTCGTTCTATTTTTGTAATTTAACCTAGCTGAAATAAAGCTATTGTTGAGTTTTCTTTGTGTTTTGGCTGTGTGAGCTCTCAAACTTGGCTGCAGTTGGTTAATGAGCCAATAGGCTTGGTATGTGCTGATGAGCACTGTGGGTGGAAAGAAAGAAGGGAGAAGAGGGCAGTAAAAATAAATATGGCTTTGCACTGAAGTGCTTTTAGACACAGTTTTAGGTAGTAGGCTATTGTATGGTAAGGCTTTCTGCAGTTTGTCAAAAATACCCCCCCCCCCCCTCCAACTATGTCATAAACATCTGTCATACGCTTTATTTATGTGTTTTAAAACGCACTCTGGTCTGCAAACAGGAAGACGGATGCCTTTCAGAATGCATGACTTTCTTGTATTTCTTTTATATTTATGGCTACTTCACAGGTTACATCTTGAGCTTGGTGCTTCTGACTCTGCCTCGTCAGCACCTGGTTAAACTTTACCTGTATGTTCTTACGGCCCTGCTGCTGTTTGCTGGTCACCAAGTGTCAAGGTAAACATTCACAGAAACTTAAATCTACCAGAATAGCTAACAAGATGCCACTACTCCTCTTTTAAATACTGATGTGTGTATGTATGACCGTTTTCCTCTTGTTAATTCATGTGAAGGACTGGAGATTGTGAGAATTTCCTCTGTATTGATTGTTTTAGTTTTTCTCTGTCAGGGATTATGTTCGCAGTGAACTGGATTCTGGTTATGAAGGCCCTGTCTACCTGGAACCTCTCTCCATGAACAGATTCACCACTGCACTCATAGGTATAATACTCATAGGTATAATTGTTCAACATTCATATTATTGAAGAATGTGAATGATGAGGTACCGATGTCTTGCACATAGATACTAGTGGTGAAGGGATCAAAAATCTCGCGGTTTTAAGTCATGGATCGGATCAATTTTCAGATCAGCAAAAAAGACAAAAATGTAACATTTACTTATTGAAGTATTTTTTTGCCTGTTGAAAATATTCAACTCAAGACTCATTCCAGGGCAGTACAGTCTTTGTATCTACCACTCAATTCAATTTTATTTATAAAGAGCCAAATCACAACAACAGTCGTCTCAAGGCGCTTTATATTGTAAGGTAGACTCTACAATAATACATATCGCTCATTATATCGCACTCTGCTGTGATATAATGAGCTGTCACGGTCACGTAGCTTTCCGTTGCCCTGGAGGTCCACCCATTTGTAGTAGTTAGGGCAACAGAAGATGCCTGGGACAGTCCAGCCATAACTTAAATCTTTTCCTGCTCATACATGCTTGGAAGGATCTTGCCACTAAAGTGGACGCGAACGGGATATCATAGCGTGGCTCAAGCACGTTCATCATAGTTTAAACCCCTTGTTTTGCACAACGGAATACGGCCTCCCGTCTGCAGCTAAACACCCCAATAGCTTTTGTAATAGCTTTAGCCCGGTCGGACTGGGCAGCAAACTCCTCTGCTCCTCCACTTGGACCGCTAGCGCTGGCCATAACTATCGCTTGACAGACCCACCACGCGCACCATACACATACTTTTTCTTTCTTCTTTTTCGAATCTTCGGATCACATGCGTGCCAAACCGTGGAGTGGGATCAGTTCGGATTACGGATCAACCGCGATCCGTTGCACCACTAGTAGATACAGACCCGTAGACCCACTTAGGCAGCAGAAAGATATTTATTTATTTATTTAAATTTGAACTGTTTCCTTCTTTTTAATGGCTGCACATACTGCTGTACAAAGTATAGGAACATTAATTCTATAGATGGGCACCTCGTAGCACTGCAGTACAACCAGTAGGACTAAAGCTCAGAATTCATATGCTCTAACCAAATGGCTAAACTGAATGGGCATAGTATTCAGAGCATATGACGAGTAGGATGCATCTTTTGCCATGGGTCTGTGTGAATTTCATCCAAAAGAAAACAGTCTTCATTTTGGGATTGTGTTTTTGGACCTTGCATGGGGCAGTAAGTTGAGATTATTCATTGAATTTGTGTAACCTGGGTCAGTAAACATTCATGGACTATAGTAGACTGTGCAAAGTTGCTAAGAAGATGCATACAGGTACTGGCAAAAGAAAAGCAGACACTTGAGTCTTTTCCTTAAGAAATGTTTGTGTAACAGGAATAAGCACACCTTGTTTTTGTCTTTTTAACAAAAAAAGTGGAAATAGAATACTTGGCTGCACATATGTACATATTTAGCATTGCTCTCATGTCCATGTGAGCACTTTCATTAATTATATAAATACCCAATGCCACAGCATCCACATTAATGGGATTATGAAGGAACCTAATTTGTACCAATTCCAGAATTAAGAAGTGCTCACATACGTATGTGCTTCAGTCTTCCTCTGGGTGGGAAAGCAAAAAGAACAACCTCTTGTAATTTTTCAGTATTTCTGTTGCTGCTATGCTTAATTATGTAAAAATGTATCATTTTCTAAATAGAAAATGCTGTAGAGTCTTTTTAGGACCTAGTTTAAACTTACTAGAGAGTATAGATGGAGTCTCCTGTGCTAGAAATAGACCGCAGAGTGCTGCTTTTACTGCGTAGTGAAAGCCTGAGAAAGCGAAAATAAGATGAGTACAGTGACAAAAATATGCTACTGTAAGGAGCAATGTGAGATTAAAGCTGCTTCTCTTCTCTTTTAAATGTTTGTTCCTTTTTGGTGTTTGACACATTTTCACCACTCTAGGAGAGCTATAAATATTCTGATAAATTTTCTTTTAATTGTCAGTTACACGAAAATGATAAATACCACATCACAAAAAACGTTTTAAAATCAGAGTGATAATAGTGTCTTTAGTCATTTATTCAACTCTTTGTTTTATATATGTGTGTATGTGTGTCTTCTTTCAGGTCAGCTGGTGGTTTGTACACTTTGTTCCTGTGTGATGCAAACCAAGAGGATTTGGCTGTTCTCTGCTCACCTCCTCCCTCTAGTGGCTAGGCTGTGTCTGGTCCCACTCGAGACCATCGTCTTCATCAATAAGTTCTCAATGATCTTCACGGGCCTGGAGGTCATTTACTTCCTGGCGTCTAACTTGCTGGTACCATATAACCTGGCCAAGACTGCCTACAGAGAGCTGGCTCAGGTATTTATTGTGGGCTGATGTTGCAAGCTTTTCAGTTTCTGTGACAGGATTTCAGTTCTGAGATATTTTTCTGTAGATGGTATCAAAGGTATTCTTTATTTCGGTCTTTTTCTGTCCTGCAGGTGGTAGAAGTGTACGGGCTTCTTGCTTTGGGAATGTCACTGTGGAACCAGCTGGTCCTTCCAGTTCTCTTCATGTGTTTTTGGCTCGTGCTGTTTGCTCTGCAGATATACTCCTACTTCAGCACAAGAGACCAGCCTACTTCCAGAGAGAGGCTGCTTTTCCTTTTTCTTACAAGGTAAGACTATAAATCAGGCTGCAAGACACTTTACATTTTACGTCACTGACCCTTTAGAAGGTGTGTTTATCTATTTATTGCCTTGTATCATTAAAGGGGCAGGTAGTGTGTACAAAACATAAATCTAGTTTTGATGTACTGGATTTTATTTAGAAAATCTAATTATATAAAAGTATATAAATTATATAGCATCATATAAATTACAGAGACATTAGATTGCAAAGCAAGTCAGTCTGCAGAGTTTGAGTAAAGCAAGTTTTTAGATTTTGAGATAATTTTGCAGAAATGTGTCAAGAGGAAATTCTAAAAGATGTGTTGGATCCATTTGTCACAGTGCTAAATAACCCATGTTTTGCACTGGTGGACAGAATTAAGTTAAAGCAGACGACTGAGATACTCATCAGAACTTTAAGGACGCGATCTAAATATTTAAAATTGTTTAGAAAGTTGTTGTTTTTTTGTCATGTTCTCTAAGTAATTTGCTCCTCCTTTCTCCAGTATCGCAGAATGCTGTAGTACGCCGTACTCTCTGCTGGGTCTGGTTTTCACAGTTTCTTTCATTGCGCTGGGCGTTCTCACACTGTGCAAGTTCTACCTGCAGGGCTACAGAGCCTTTATGAATGACAACACCATGCACAGGTCAGCAAGGTTTTTATTTTCTTGATGTCTTCTGGTATGTTTCTTTTAATTAGTTTAGTCTGTTTTAGCCTCTCTGTCCCAGTAACCATCATGACTGAAGGCAATATGTTTTCTGACTGTTTATCCCATTCGTGTGGAAACACATATATCTGGAACTATTCTTTAAGGATGTCTGCATTTCACACAACTGTCTAATAGGATAAAATAATTGACATTGTATACCCAAAAGTCAAGTCTGGATAAACGTGTATATGATCTCCAACTTGAGTGCAAAGCCAAGGCATATAATTGTGTGGTGTGTTAACTCTAATTTGTTTCCTCTCTGTGCAGGGGGATGACTGAAGGTATCACCTTGCTAATCCTTGCGGTCCAAACTGGCCTCATTGAGCTGCAGGTCATCCACAGAGCCTTCCTCCTCTCTATCATCCTCTTTATTGTTGTTGCTTCCATCCTGCAGTCCATGCTGGAGATAGCAGATCCTATAGTCCTAGCCCTGGGAGCATCTAGAGACAAGTAAGAGAATATACCAAAGACTTTTTTTATGTGTTTATTTTTAAGAAAACTCTGTGTCCCACTGTTTGTTTTATTTTGTACTGATCATAAACAACTATTAATAACTATGGGCAGTTAGTTAATTATCACAGTATTCATTATCTATGGTCATCAGTACAACTCATGCTAACATCGTAAATTAAGTAACACTACAGTGTACAGTCCTTCTTTCTTCATTCCTACCTAAACAGGCAGTTAGTCTTTTTGACATCAATAAATGTAATCTGACTCAATGTGTGTATACAAAGCCTGCTATCAACCTGGCTGCTTTCTCATATGCTTGTTTTGCTGCCTGTCCCGTAGGAGTTTGTGGAAGCACTTCCGTGCAGTTTCTCTCTGTCTCTTCCTGCTGATCTTTCCAGCGTACATGGCTTATATGATCTGCCAGTTCTTCCACATGGACTTCTGGCTTCTCATCATCATCTCCTCCTCAATCCTCACCTCTCTCCAGGTAACACACAACTGCATCGCAGTGTGCAAAAACATTAAATTAAATAGTTTAAACTTGCTCTACCCAAACAGTTGAGCCTAATACTAATTAAACATTTATATTTGCTTGTTTGTTTAATTCCATAATAACTCTGAAACACTGTACCGCCAGGTCCTTGGCACTCTTTTGATCTATGTTCTCTTCATGGTGGAGGAGTTTCGTAAAGCTCCAGTGGAGAACATGGATGAAGTCATATATTGTGTAAATGGGACCTACAGATTGCTGGAGTTTCTGGTATGTCACACACACATACACCAACTCTTTGCTAAGTTCTGCCTTCTGACTGTAAACAGACACTGTCATCTAATGCATCAGCACGGTCTCTGCCTCACTGTCAGTGATTTGTTCCCTCGCCAGGTTGCGGTGTGCGTGGTGTGCTATGGTGTATCAGAGACTGTATTTGGCGAGTGGAGTGTGATGGGAAGCACCATCATCTTGGTCCACTCGTACTATAACGTCTGGCTCAGAGCCCAGCTGGGCTGGCAGAGCTTCCTGCTCAGGAGAGATGCTGTAAACAAGATAAAAAGCCTCCCCACAGCTAGCAATACACAGCTGCAGCAGTATAACGACATCTGTGCTATCTGCTTCCAGGTATGAACTGTTTTTATGTTTATCTAAAGAGGATGCATGAGAGAGTTAATCTGGGGCTTTAAAAGGTAGGCTAATGTGAAATTTGATTTGTTCCAGGACATGACCAGTGCTGTGATCACTCCGTGCAGTCATTTCTTCCACGCTGGCTGTCTGAAGAAATGGCTGTATGTCCAGGAAACGTGCCCTCTCTGTCATTCACAACTCAAGAGCCAATCACCAACTAATGGCGGAGCTACCCAAGAGACACCTGCAGCCAATCAGAACCCTGCAGGACAGGAAGAAGCCCCAGGCAACAAGCAGGAGGAGGACCACAGCACTCTACCGGAGGATAGGAAAGAGGAAGCGTCAGTAGAGCAGGAGGGAGATAATGAAACTACCACATTAGCTGGGGAAGCCTCCTCTTCCACCTCCCCCACTGGCATGCAGTCTGCTCCCCTGCACATCGTCAACCCTCCATTATCATTTTCCTCTTGTTCTTCTTCTCCTCTTGCAACTGATTCTGTGCCGCACCAGTCCCCTGCAGATCACCCTTCTGCATCTTCTTTCTCTACCTCTTGCACATCAGACACACCTGACGCTCCTGCATCTCACTGCCATTCTGTCTCCACCTTTCACCAACCAACGTCACAGGTACTGACCCAAGCAGAGGCGAACCCTGCTGAACCCGAATCCCTCCCTCAGCTAAAATCAGTCTCCCTTGTGGACAGCGAGGAAAACTCTACTGGTCCATCATCACAATCTAACCCACCAACTCCCCATTCAGTGGAACCTCCTCCTCGTCCTCCACCCCCTCCTCCATTCAACCCCTGAGCTCCATTTTAACACACACACAACATACATGCATGCATGCATATATAATCACACAATCTAAATAATCCCCTATTGTACTTCTCCAACTGTTTGCTGTTGGCTCTCCCATCATGTCCAACTCCTTCATATCCATATTATGTTTCAAAAGATCTAAAACAATCTCTAAACAGAAATTCATCACTCGGTATTAAAAAAAAAAGAGAAGACAATGATTGCAGCTTTATAAAATGTTAGTACTTGGAGCAGTGAAAGGTTTCCCATGATAGGTGTAACCCATGCCAGCAGTGATTTCATCACAGGTGCAGTTATTTTCCACATGTTCTTTCACAGGGATTCAAATTTAATACAAAAAACAGGATGCAGTAATCTCATCTCAGAATGAATTGGGAGTTTTACACCATGTCCAGAAAATGTGAAAATCGGATTTCCATCATGGCCTTTTTCTTTCTCCCCCCCCTACAATCATACTTTTACCCCTTACCTTTTGATGCCTGACATTTAGGGCGATGGTTGCTCCTGCCTTTGTTTGTACAGCTTGAACTTTCACTGCTGTACATTTCATAGTGTTTGGGTGCCACGATTTATCGAACAATTGATCAGACTATCGATTACTGATGGTTGCATTTTATACCGTGACAAAGTCTTAACATTTCATAACGTCTAGAAATTCTCCACATTTTTTGTTTTTCACTGCTGGGTGTCAGTAGTGTTGTGATTTAGTGAATACTGAGCGTTAGCAGACTGAATGTTGTTTATTGAGGTCGCCGCATGACCTAAAGCCTGGTGCTAAGCAGAGGACACATGGTATGGTCTAGCTGAGGGGTGCAGTGTGAACTTTTGGTTCACATTGAATAACTTACATGTGTCAAGCTTTTGCTTTTATACTACTTCAATATCTGATTCAGACTTGTTTGGCTGGTCCCAGCAAAAAAACAGTTCTATTCCTCATCGCCAAACTTTTGTATTACTGTTAAAGCAACTTTATTTTTAAGGTCATTTTTGCATTACTGCTTTATTGGATACCACACGCTGCAAATGGACTAAGGGGAAGATGGAGAGACAAGGTATAAATTAGTCCACAGAGTTGATAAGGAGCTCGGATTTTGCCCTCATTAGCTCTATTTTATGGTTCTCACTCGCGCTTACCGTTGCAAGCTTGGCTCACTAACAGATCAACCAATCATTCACATTGTTGATCGCTGATGGCAGGAGCCAATCAGCTCCTTTCATCCAGTTACATTAGAGACCCTGTATTTTCCAAGACATTAGGGTTTTCCTGCTCGTCAGTCAGTTTACTCCATAAATTGTTGATACCAGCAAATTGAGCCATAGCTTCTTCTTTTTTTTTTCTTTTTCACAAAAACACACTTTCTTTTGGCTACTGCATTTAGCAGATGAAGCATGGCGAGGAAGAAATATGCTTTGAAATGAGTGTGAAAGACTGAAAACTTGAGGATGGCAAGTCCTGATGCACGCTTATATGTAGACCTTGCTGCCGCTCTGACCACAGAATTTGTTCGTCCCCAATGTGCTATAACCTTGCTACCAATGTTTTTTGGGTTTTTTTTCTACCTTTTTTTTCTTTTGGGGTTATATTTGCACTAATGTCATTTTTTACTAGCAATGCTCCAAAGCTGTTCTGTGGATGTCCGCAACCAAATACCCTCTGATGTCTGTGTATGAGGAAACGGCCCAATCTGTTTGTGTGTAATGAACACAAATGTTGCTCTGTACGATATCTATATAAACAAGATTTAAATCTATATATATATATATATATATATATATATATATATATATATATATATATATATATATAGATATCTATATATATATATATATATATATATATATATATATATATATATATATATATATATATAGATATATATACATATACATAAGTAAGACGAGGGCTTGGTCTCTCCAAAGTTTCCTTTCTTTGTTTCTTCACGTGCCTGTGAGCAAAGAGAATTTTTGGATAAGAAGCTGCTGGGAAATCAAGCCCTCTGATCTTTGACACCAGCCAGTGTTGCTGCTTCTCCAGTCTATATGATGCATCTTTTAAGCTGGTGTGATCACTCTGGTGCCCTCTACTGTTAGGAGTGGGATCAGCATGGTGCAGACGGACAGGAGACGCATTAATTAGCGCTCAGCAGTATTACTTACTAGCACTATTATTAAAGGTCTTATTAGTATGAATGACCATATTCTTGACATTAGGAAGCGTGGGCTGCAGGGTTGAGAATGAATACACGATCAGTGTAGGATCAAACCTGACCAACGCTGTTTTGACTTTTTGTGTTTATTTTTTTAAAGAGATGAAATGTAGAGTTTGATGTATTTTGCACATGTTCTTCTGAAAGGTGAACCTAAGGACTTTTCTGTACACAACTTATTTTATTACCAACACCATTCCTTCAACGTTGATTTTTTTTTTTTTTTAACTTAAATACAGCACTTGAAACGGTTATAATGAATTGAGCTGTTTAAAACACACTTGGTTTTCGCCATGACGCATTTCCACTGCGTCCTGCATTGAGATCACCTGTAAGATGAAATGTGACGTGACGCCCCACGAGGGCGATAACAGTCAGTGGCAGCTGTATGTGAATTTTGCATTTCAGTATTAAATAATGAATACGAGATGCTTGTCAGCTGTTGATTCCTCAAGTATTTGCTCGGTGATTACTCCACGTTGGAGAAGTTGCAGTTTCTCTCTTCAGGCTACGAACTGTGGCTTCATTTTTTCATACTGTCTGGGACAGTTTGACATCAAATTATTAGCACACAATAAGCTAATAATTGTGCTCAATATTCATCTGATTAATATAAAGTACATGCAGACAGTGAAGCTTTTACAAAAAAAAATGCAATCTTTAATGCATTATTTGCATCCTGTGATTTGTGTTTTTCTTTCTACATTTTTTTCTGAATTGACTTAAAATACGCATCAGTGACTGTGGTAATGTGCCAACAAATTTCTTAGCCATCACTGGTGCTCCTCACACTGAGCAGGATTTATTTTACAGTTAAGCTCCTCTAAGGGGCCGTAATGCCTTTTCGGATTGTAAAGTCACACATACATACAAGTACAATAAGTTAACCTGAATATCTTTTTTTTTTTTTTTTTTTTTTTTAAATCTTTATTTTTTTAGTTGCTCCTAATTGGCTTGCTCTGCAATCATAATTTCAGGATGTATTTTGTCTACTTAACTAGTACTGCTGTTAGACTTTCATATTTGATCATCTTTACTGAATGCGACTAAAAACCCAGAGACAGAAAACTATTTTTGACCAGTGTGACGGCAAAGTTAGCCTTGCATCTGATATCCAGATGTTTCACTGTTTCCACTTTTCACGATTCTTTGTAAAAATCATAATTTTTCGAGTGTGAGCAAATACAGAAATGGAATCTATAGCTGCCACGGAGTGAGAGCTCTGTAAAGACGTTTTACTGTATTTTCCGAATGCGTTCTTAAATCTGCTCTTCGATACTGTTGCCTCTGACTGACAGATGCGTAGAGATGAATTGTACTTGTGGGACTGCTCTCCCCGACACTCCCTGCAGATTCTTGTTTAAGATGAATTGTTTTTGTCCATTGAGTTTATCCAAAAACAGCTTTAGGACCTGCTCTGTTTAATGTGGCTCTCGGTGCCATTTCTTTTCTGTTAAAATGCTTCATGTTGGTTTTTGGACTTTATGCCTGGCATTGCCTTGGTTATTTTACAAAAACTGAATGTCAAATAAAATGAACCATCCACTCTGAATGCTGTGACTGTTCTTACTAATACTTTGATGAAGTGTAAGGAAAATAACAAAATAAAGATCATTGTTTTGGAAAAGGTAAGCGACTGAAAAGTGGGTGTGATACCACCTGCTGAAATTAAAATGAAATGCCACACAAATAATGTCAAGCAAATAATAATGGGTGTAGTCCGTAAGGTCAAAAGCAGTCGAATGTATTACAAAAGCTGTAACAATCAGTTTCTTTGAAAAGTCTCATTTATATGTACATTTTGGAGACAATGCATCAGGTGACTGAGCCGTTGCGTCTGATTTTGAGGTACTGCAACAGCAGAGGGCAGCAATACTGTAGGAAACATGCTCCCCAAAAATGAAGCCAAAACGTCTCTATCGCCGCCTAGTGTCTTGGCTGCAGTATAGGTCATAAAAAACCCTCATCTATGTTAGCGGATGGGACTGGGGTCGGGCTAAAATTAGAAAAAAAAAAAAATCTCCTCAGATCATTTTTTTTTTTCCATAGATGCTTTCTTTCATTATCAGTAGTTCTCATCAGGCTGATTTCTGTTCATTGGGTCTCCTTTCTTATAAGTTTGATTCTAATTAGTAACACAAAGCTGTTAAATTGGGGTGAAACGTCATCACGACAGCTTTGACTGGCAGCTGCAGTCACGGAGAAACTTGCTTATCTCTGTTCGGGAAGGGCAGATGGAGCCTGATGCTGAGAGGAGGTCCA